TATCAATGGTTTAGGGTTGCGGGGCTGTGCGTCCCGAAGCTGCTTTTAGAGGGCCACAAGTACAGTTACACTCCTCAACCTCAGCAAACACTTACAAAACGTAAGCCCTTCAAGGGTTTAGAGTTCGGGGTTTAGGCTTTAGGGTTTGCTTGGACGTTCTTTGGCATAGTAAGTCTACTTAGTACCCCTAGAAAACCCAGTTTATTAATCCCCATAATCGAATCGACTTACGAACCTACTGCTAAAAAGGGCTTCCAAGCAGGGTTTCGGGGATATACCGGGGGCTATGTGAGAAGGCTTTAAGGTTTATAAGAGATGTGCAACCAAGGAGGAAGCTGCACGGGTTGAAGCTGGGCTGCGGGTAAGGTGCTAAGCCCTGTGAAGGTCACATAGCAGTAGGGAACCTACTATCTACTAGACGTCCATCGTCGGTGACTCCCCAAACCTTACACTAGACTTACGTGCCCAACCCTGAACCCTAACCCTAAACCCTAAAACCCCTAACAAAACCAACGCCATGAACTTGGAGGACGTACGCAGGTGCCGAGGCACCACCCCGCCCCAGCTGCCGAAGAACTGCTTCGATGCAATCCTGAAGTTTTTTTCGGGGTTTTGGGTTCCAAGGTTTTACCAGGTTGATGGTTTGAGGCTTCGGGCTGAGGTGCGTCGTGCCCTCTGTCTGCCTGCACACCCCTAAACCCTAAACCCTAAACCCTAAAACCCTAAACCCTAAACCCTAAACCCCTAAACCCTAAACCCTACCCGCAAACCCCGGACCTTCTGTTGCCCATGCAATCCTGGGGTCAAGGCCTCTGGCAGCTGCGTCGGTAGGCGAGGCCCTGCCTAAACCCAAACCCTTAAAACTAAACCCTAAACCCGAAACCTAAACCCCTAAACCCTAAATCCTAAACCTCCACGTCCAAGCCTCCACAAAATGCCCCCGTTTAGGGTTTAGGGTTTAGGGTTCAGGTCTCCTGTAAGTGTAGTTGAGATCTCCTCTATTCGACCTGGTCTTTCACATGGCCGAAAAGCTTCCCCAGGACCTGGCCTTAAACCTGAACCCTGTGCAATAGGAAGCTAACATAGCCAAGCCAGACGCGTCTCCGAAACCAGCCCCTGCGTCTAAGCCATCCGTCGCTCTCTCTGGCTTGTTGAACCCTAAACCCCTAAACCCCTAAACCCCTAAACCCCTAAACCCCTAACCCCAAACCCCTCAAGCCCGAAACCCCTAAACCCCTAAACCCTAAACCCCTAAACCCCTAAACCCCCAAACCCCTAAACCCCTAAACCCTAAAGCCTAAAGCCAAAAAACCCCAAACCCTAAACCCCAAACCCCAAACCTGCTCCAGAGCAAGGCTCGCGGTGGAAGACGTGCCCGCAGCGGTGACAATGTCGCGCCGGACTCCATGCAGATGCTGCCTCAGGAGGGTTTTAGGGTTTAGGGTTTAGGGTTTAGGGTTTAGGGTTTAGGGTTTAGGGTTTAGGGTTTAGGGTTTAGACCGTAAATTGGCACTTGTAAAATGTGGTGCCGAAACTTAGGCTGGGACCAAAGAACTCGAAACCCTCACACAAGGGCCAAGAGTGTCATATGAGAAGTGGTTGAGGAACCCTCTCGAACAATGCTTCGGCGCTACAGCCTACAGCCTACAGCCTACAGCCTACAGCCTACAGCCTAAAGCCTAAAGCCTGAAGCCTGAACCCTAAACTAAAGCCTAAAGCCTAAACACTGTTTAGGGTTTAGGGTTAACCTATACATCCCATCAACCTATCAACCCTCTAAAGCGGCAAGCCCTGAACCGAAGAGGGATAAGATGAAACATCCCAAAACCCAAAAGCCTTCAAATCCGAAGCCTGAACCTCACACCCCCGAAGCCCGCATGGCCCTGAACCCTAAACCCTAAACCCACCTAAACCTAACCCTCGGGCTGCTTGGACGGCCCCTTGAGCACTCCGGTCGCCATGCTAGACCCGACTCGGTTCTCAAGTAACCTAGACAAAGATGGGCACCCTTTTGGTATAATTAATTAGGTTTTGTACGACATCCTAAATCCAAGAATGCGGAATATTAGGATTTAGGGTTTAGGGTTTAAGGGTGCTACTTTCGGGGCTACTGTGAGTCATGGCTGTCCTGAGGCAGAGGGGTGCGCCGACCCCGATACAGTAGATACGGTATGTACGACTACGGAGCCCGGCTCAACCCATCTGCAGACAGTTCTATGGCCTCCCAGTCCTTGTATGAACCCAGAGCTTCACCTCAACCCTAAACCCTAAACCCTAAATTCCCAAACCCTGAACTCTGAACCGAAGCAAATGGCTTCGTAGGAAGAGCTCTCAACAAACCCCGCTGCCGCCAGAAGGCAATCGCTTCTTGCGCTTGGGGCGAGGTTTCGCAGCAGATGCTCCACCTTCCGAAGAAGAAATCTCACGCTCTATTGCAGAAACCCTAAACCGTAAACCCTTCTAACCCCTAATCAAACCCCTAAAACTACAACCCTTTCCCCCCAACAACCCCGAAACCCCAAAACCCCTAAACCCCTCCCCTAACCTAAACCCCCCTAAATAAACCCCTAACCCCCAACCCTAAAACCCCTAAACCCCCCTAATTAAGCCCTAAACCCTAAACTTTGGCCCTAAAACCCTCAAGAAAATAAATAGAAATTGTATGTGGTACCATTCTGAATTTTCAAGATATTGTCTAAACAGCTGACAGTTTAAGTAACTTAATCCAAAGCGCCTGGGAGGCCAAATGCACAATTTACTTAAGCTGTGGGGCCTTCCCCGCCCCCAAAAAAAAAAGACAACAGGCCCTCCAAGACCCCGGAAGGCCCAACTTAGGCTGCAAATCAGGCGCAAAAAAGAGCCTGAGCAATCCCAATGTGGCCCGCTGGCCCCAAATTTGGCCCCGGCAGGCCATTAGGCCCCAAAGCAAATCCCCCCAAACCCCGTCCCAAACCCCCCCCACCCCCCCAAAACCCCCAGACCCCCCCAACCCACCCCCCCCCCCCCCCCCAAACCCGGCCCCCCCCCCCCCCCCCCCCCCGCCCCCCCACCCCCCTCCCCCCCCCCCCAAACCCCCAAAACATACCCAAACCCCCTCAAATCCGCCCAACCGAAAAAATAGAAAATAAGTTCCAAAACAGAAGCTTTCGGTCAAAACTTTCGGTCAAAACGTTTCGGTCAAAACTTTCGGTCAAAAAAAATGTTATTGGGACCTGAACCCTCTACAATTTCTAGAAACCCTAAACCTGGGGTTCATGGATTCCACTTAGAAACCCTCAACCCCCAAATCCCTCTCCGAACCCCTGGACCCCAAACCCTGGCCCTAAACCCGTAAACCCCCCAACCCCTAAACCCCAAACCCTAGCCCTAAACCCCAAACCCCCGCAACCCCTAAACCCTAGCCCTACACCCCTAAACCCCTAAACTCCTAAACCCCTCTCTCTCTTGCGCTCTCTCTCTCGCTCCATCTCTCTCACAACCCCTAAACCCCTAAACCCCAAAAACCCGAAACCCTGAGCCCTAAACCCTAAACCCTAAACCCTAAACCCAAACCCTAAACCCCTAAAGCTGCTATCCGGGCCTTGTCCTTGCCAAGGGCATCTGTGGCTGCCTCGAGGACGCGCAAGGCATCACCTCGGAGGCCAGGTGGGTTTCAGGGTTTTAGGGTTTTAGGGTTTTAGGATTTTAGGGTTTTAGGGTTTTAGGGTTTTAGGGTTTTAGGGTTTTAGGGTTTTAGGGTTTTGGGGTTTTCGGGTTTTGGGGTTTTAGGGTTTTAGGGTGTTAGGGTTTTAGGGTTTTAGGGTTTTAGGGTTTAGGGGTCAGGGAAAGGGGGTTAAGGGCTCTGAGTTTGGGTCCCTTGCTGTACAGTCCGTAGATATACCATACATAGTAAGGGCTCATACTTCGGAGCCCTACGAACTGAAGGGCTTAGGGTGCTTTGGGGGTGCGCGCCACCTAATTTAGGGTGAACGCCACGCAAGAAAGCCCCTAACGAAGAGCAAGCCTGCGAAGTCGTCCCTTGTTGTTTTTGCTTTTGTTTGTGTGTGAAACCCCAAACCCTTAAACCCCATATAAACCCTAAACATGAAACCAGGGTTGAGGAATGGACTCTGGAACCTTCTGGGAGCCTCCCTGGCCTGCAAGCCTTAGAGCCTGCAAAGACATGAACATCCCAACTGCGGACCTTAAATCCTGAACCCCGAAGGCGTGCTTGCTGCAGGAGTCGAGCACCACCTGCTGTGATTTTAGTTTTCATGGCATTCATGAGTGGAGTCTGCTAATCCAAACTTACAAGCCATTTTCTTCCTAAACCCTCAGCCCTAAACCTACATGCTACAGCCTCAATTGTATGACTCCCATAGTGCACCCTAAATCCTAAACCCTAAACCCATATTGCGATCCTAAGCCCTACCTATTCCTTTCTCTACAGAAATACTAAGCCCTCAACCCTAAACCCTAAACCGTGCCAGCGAGCCTTTTCCTTGTCGAAGCTCGGCTAGGAGTGTGCCAGGGAGCAGCGAGCTCGCGCAACAAAGCCTCAGACTCAGGCCAGCTTCATCTTAGGATTCTAAGGCTGTTTTGATTGCAGGTTAGGCAAGGTTTGGGGTTTGGGGTTTAGGGTTTAGGGTCGGGGTTCAGGTGGTTTACCCCGAGAGGGTCTGGGCAGGGTTTGCTCTAGGGTTGCGGTTGATTCTGAGTCGGGCAGCTGTCCCCTAGGCAAGATTACGACCCTTAACCCTTATGACCCATGAACCTCCGTTAAGGTGTTCAGGGTCCACCGAGGCCCCGCAAACGGAGCACTTCACGGACTTCTGTTGCCTTTGCCTGGATGGACGAAGCGCTCACTTCGCAGTGAAACAAGGAATTATGTGCTTGAAACGACGAATTATGCTTGAAACAACTTGAAACGGGTGTTTGGATTTGAAAAAAGTATTAAAAAGGTGGAGGCAGTATACTAAATATACTCTATTCGTCACAAGAATCACGGTTTTCCGCAACCTTCAGTCACGCAGTGCCGGCTGGTCGTCAATGTCTCCCAAAATGGTCCGCTGGAAGGAGGTCTGGGTGTTGGCGAGCATGACCTAGTTCATGGTTTAGGGTATCGAACATCGAAGTTTCTATCCCTTACTGAGTTTAAGTGCCCTTAAATCATGCAAAATGCTACCCCACTGTGACAAAGAGTGACCAGGAGCACTTCCTGAAACTCGCTGGACCGGATGCCCGCCAGCGACATGGAGGCGCACAGCTTGGTGGAGAAGTTCATGGTCAGAAAGAAGATGCACTCCTCGGTTGCCCAGTAACCTAGGATTAAAAAGGGTGCTTTCGGGTCGAGGGGCTCCCTAAAACCTAAACCCTAAACCCTAAACCCTAAACCCTAAACCCTAAACCCTAAACCCTAAACCCTAAACCCTAAACCCTAAACCCTAAACCCTAAACCCTAAACCCGACCCAAAAAGGGAATAAGGGTACTACTGGGCATCCTCGACTCAAACTTCCACGACACCACCCCCACAAGTCGAAAGACATAGACCAGGCCGTAGATTCCAAAGACCAACACCTTGGAAGCCCGGCACCCTTTTTTGGGTTTAGGGTTTAGGGTTTAGGGTTAGGGTTTAGGGTTTAGGGTTTAGGGTTTAGGGTTTAGGGTTTAGGGTTTAGGGTTTAGGGTTTAGGGTTTAGGGTTTAGGGTTTAGGGTTTAGGGTTTAGGGTTTGGGGTTTAGGGTTTAGGGTTTAGGGTTTAGGGTTTAGGGTACCAAGCAACGAGGGCCATGGCCAGCAGCGGGCGACCGAAGAGGTGGCCGTCGGGATTGTCGACGCGCCATCGCTTGACCCAAAGGAACATGTCGTATGAGGCCTTAAAGTACCTATGCTGAACTTGGAACCCTAGCAAAGATTGTGATTTTTTGCTTTTTCTTAGGAATTATATGTCATGTGAGGCCTTAAAGTACCTCTACTGAACTTGGAACCCTAGCCAAGATTGTGATTTTTGCTTTTTCTTAGGAAGTATAGTACCCAAAAAATAAAAATCATTCCCAGGTATCCTTCAAGTACATCAGGAAGGAGACCGCCACCACCGCCCACTTGCCGGGAGCATTTGAGATGAAGTCTGCGCACCAAGCCAAGATCATGTAGATGTTTGTGAGGACCTTGGTAGCCCTAAACCCTAAACCCTAAACCCTAAACCCTAAACCCTAAACCCTAAACCCTAAACCCTAAACCCTAAACCCGGCAACCATATTACTATAAGGCCGGCCTATTTGGGGGGGGGGGGGTTACTTTACAAGGGAACCCCGGAACGAACAAACAAGGGGTACAAGGGTACCACTGGGCTTCGAAGAGGCTGTCCCGAACCTCCAAGTAGCCCTAAACCCTAAACCCTAAACCCTAAACCCTAAACCCTAAACCCTAAACCCTAAACCCTAAACCCTAAACCCTAAACCCTACAGTAAACCCAAAACCCAAAACCCTAAACCCTAAACCCTAGACCCTAAACCCTAAACCCTCAACCCTAAACCCTACAGTAAACCCAAAACCCTAAACTCAAAACCCTAAACCCTAAACCCTAAACCCTAAACCCTAAACCCTAAACCCTGAACCCTGAACCCTGAACCCTGAACCCTGAACCTCCAGGCAAGGGACCAAGGGCTCAGCCACCTCGGGTCCGGGTCGACCTAATGAGACCCCGCCGGCCAAGACAAGGAGGATGGGCACATTGACCAGCCATTCGACGTAAAAGATGGTGTACACCTTGTAGTATAGGGTTTAGGGTTTAGGGTTTAGGGTTTAGGGTTTAGGGTTTAGGGTTCAGGGTTCAGGGTTTAGTGTAGGGTTTAGGGGTTAGGGTTCCAGTGAGCTAGGGGAACTAAAGGCTAACCTTTGGGAATCCAAAATGGGGATTAGATTACCCCCCCCCCCCCCCCCCAAAAAAAAAAAAAGGTGAAAGGCTACCTGCTCTACTGCTCGGACACTGGCATCCGGTCCAACTCCGGGAGCTCCGAGACCGAGGCGTGCACGAACCAGGCGGAGTTGGCCGCGTAGAAGGGCATGTTCTCCTTGGTAGCCCAGTAGCCATCTTATCATAATTTAGGGTTTAGGGTTTAGGGTTTAGGGTTTAGGGTTTAGGGTAAGGAACCCATAAGCAAAATGAAAAGGGTAAAGGGTACCGCTGGGCTAGCAAGTCTCCAGCAGGAGAACGGCAAAGCTGGTGCAGAGCAGGGCGGATGGAATCCTTGGGGTAACCCAGCAGCCATCTTCTAATGAGGGCAATGACCCTGTTTTTGGGTTGGGTACTTGTATAAGGGAACCTTGAATCAAAAAGGGAGAAGCGTATCTAATGAGGGTAATTCCCCGGCTTTTGAGGGTTACTTGTATAAGGGAACCTTGAATCAAAAAAAAGGGAGCAGCGTACCACTGGGCTAGCAAGAGTCAAGGACTCCCTGACGTTCGGAATGAGGCTGAGGGCCTTCTGGGCCGTCCTGAACGTCAAGATCACTGAGGCGAGCTCATGCATCAAGACAGCCGCCAGGCTTGCTGAAATAAGAGAACCTTAGATGCTGAGTTCTAAACCCCCCCCCAAAAAAAAAAAGTGCACACGTTCAGTTCCAAAGGGGACTCATTCAGCTGCTAAGGAACTGGCCCAAAACCCAAGGAAATAAAAGTTGAAACTTTCAGAATAAACTACCTTATAAGAAGCCCAAAAGTTGAAAAGTTGGGTTTTGAGCCAGTAAGTAAGGGACTGTAGGGCACCAACTCGGTGGCACTGCTGTGCTGCTCCTGACACCTCTCGTCGTGCGAGCAAAGAGCAGGCCGCACAGCTGTGTAGCAAAGCACGGCCGTGAAGGCCTTAGTAGCCCCAGTAGCCATTTTAGGGTTTAGGGTTTAGGGTTTAGAGTTTAGGGGAACCCAGAACCAAACAAAAAGGGTAAAGGGCACCACTGGACTTCCGAGAGGCTGTGATCAGTACCCATGAGACCTTCCGACTCAGGAGCTGCTTGAACATGGAGTAGTCATCGAGAGTCTGCTCGGTCACGTTGTGGACCGGGCCAACTTTGAAAACTGAGTTGAGGGTGCTGGCCCCAATGCTCGTTGCGACTGCCCGCCCGGGTATCAACCTACGGGTTTCCCCGTGGCCGGGCAACCTATACTGAACTTGGAACCATAGCAGAAATCATATTTTTAGCTTCTTAGGAATGACAGTAACAAACCCTAAACCCTAAACCCTAAACCCTAAACCCTAAACCCTAAACCCTAACCCTAAACCCCAACATTAAAAAACACTCCCACGCAGCCCCGAGCAACTGGTTCGGCTCCTGGCCAGGCCGAGGGAGGACCGGAGTGACTTTTGCCATGGCCGACACAAGGGGCGCTGTTGGAATCCCCCCCAAACCCTAAACCCTAAACCCTAAACCCTGAACCCCAAACCCCAAACCCTAAACCCCAAACCCTAAATTCTGAGCCAGCGCAGGCGCAGGGATCTGAGCTTTGTAAGTTCTTGGGGAAGCTACAAACAACGAGGTGTAGACCCTAAACCCTAAGCCCTAAACCCCTAAACCCTAAACCCCAAACCCCAAAACCCTACCTAAACCTGCAAACAAAAAAGGTAGGGCTGAGTCCGTGCGACCTCTCAAAACACATGTGGAATGAAATAGAACAGAATATAGTGTCATGTAATGATTAGGTGATAAGATTAGGGGGGACCCTTGGGGATATAGACCCTCTGAATAAGATCCATGCTTAAGAGAGCCAAAAGAGGGTTCAGAAGCGTTCCCCTTTAAGGGTCCCCCTAATCCTCCCTAGGAATAAGGGTGGTTGCGAAATTCGGGGATCCTAATATTGGGGGGGGGTCTGTTTTCGGGGTCCCGTATTTTCGTACACCCCTTGATATGCTGCTTTTCAGCAAAAGAAGAACCTGTTCGCAATACGAGCAAGAATCGCTTCTAGTACACACATCGTGAACACCGGGGTTGCTGGGGACCTTCGTCAGTCACCCTGCCAGCCTGCAATCATCGGGAATTAGGGTTTAGGGTTTTAGGGTTTAGGGTTTCGGGTTTAGGGTTGAGGGGAATCACGCTCCCAACACAAGCTGTAGGGGCTGTTGGTGAATTTGCCGGACTCTGATGTGACGGGCCAGCGTAAGCTTGTTCCATGGACCAAGGACCAACCCAAATTTGCCCAGCAAGAAATACAGTCGAGTTGCTTGAGCCCTCAGCCCTGAACCCTTTTTGTCACCGGCTTAGGTTTCGGGCGCACGGTTTAGGGTTTAAGAAACCCTAATGCCGAACCCTAACCCAATTGAACCAGGAGCTAGCCCTTTTTTACGGCTAGGACTGCTGCACTGCCTGCCAGGAGCTAGCCCTAAACCCTAAACCCTAAACCCTAAACCCTAAACCCTAAACCCTGCAGAATCGGGCGAGGAGCTGACGAAGCCGGATGAGCAAGGACAGAACCTTGTTGGATTTCGATTTCCCTGAATTCCAAGGAGAACCCCCTACTACCCTAAACCCCTTTTTTTGCATCCGGACTCATTGCTGGCCTAAACCCTAAACCCTAGACCCTATAGGGGCTTGTGATTAAAATAGGGTTTTGGAAGCGATTCTAGTATGTTAGAAAGGGACCATGGGGGAATTCAAAAAAAATATTCCGACCCCTATTGCGTCCTTTCAAGTGTAGAGTTTCGGGTTAAAACTAAGAAAACTAAACCCTGAATCCTGAACCCCCCCCCCCCCCCTCCAACCCCCCCCCCCCCCCCGGCCCCCGCAGCAAAAAAAAAACAAAAGACAAGAGTAATTAGAGGGCAGAATCTTAAAGGTCAACCGTTCTTGCTTCAGACTGGGCTTGGCCAGCCCGATGCAAGCGAACGCCAACCCTAAGCCCTAAACCCTAAAGCTTGGAGGGGGCTGTAGGGGGCTATAGGGTTTTGGGTCTCCTGTCCCCTGCTTGAAGGTTAACGTTGGGATGCTCCCGCGTAGGGCTTTCTTACTCCACTAGGACTGCGACTTGGCTGCACTTAGGAGGCTAGTAAAAAACTAAACGTTTAGCTGCCTTAGTAAGAAACCCAATGAACCCAAAAAAGGCTAAGGATCCAAGGTTACAGTAAAGCACCACAAAGGCGACGAGCCCTAAGACACACAAGGAACCCTGGCGCAAAGCCAATACACCCTGAACCCTAAACCCTTGCTTTCTGTGCCATGCGCGTAGCTTAGACTGTACTACTATTGCAGGGTATCGTAGGATGCGGCAAAACCCCTAAGACCTGAAATGCGCACGTGTTCAGTCTTCATACAAAAGGTGGCCCTTGACCGTTTTTGCATCGGGACTCTGCGTGCTAGCCCCAAACCCTAAACACTAAACCTAACTGGCCCAAAACCCAAGGAAATAAAAGTTGAAACTTCCAGAATAAACTACCTTATAAGAAGCCCAAAAGTTGAAAAGTTGGGTTTTGATCCAGTAAGAAACCCTAGCAGCAGGTCAGCCAAGGTGGCTCGAGTTTACTTCGGCTCTTGCCACACTTGCTTTGTTTCACTGGGATGCAGGTTTGCTGGGCATGTTGCTTCCACCTCCCTGCTTGTCTTGGCTGATGTGCTGCTTAGGTTAGGGGCTCAAAAGAGCCGAGGGCAGAAGGGTTGAAGATTTTGGGCTCAGAATGTTGAAGTGTTTGGGGAAAAGGGTCTGTAGCAGCTGTTAGTCTGAGGGTGGTTTGCTGTGGCGGTTGATAAGCCCCCTATAGCTGCCATAATTATAACCTGACTTCTGATAACGACCCATGAACCTCCAAGTGAACCCTCACCAAAAGCCCTGACGCTGCAAAAGACCTCTAGTCTAAACCCTAGAACCCAAACCCAAGCAGCCCTAAACCCTTTTTTGAACCCAGGCTCTGCACTATCAGCTGTTTCCCAGCCCTAAACCCTAAACCCTAAACCCTAAACCCTAAACCCTAAACCCTAAACCCTAAACCCTAAACTCCAAAAGTGTGGGAGCTGAGGATCGCCAACTTCTAACCCTTAGGGTTTAGGGTTTAGGGTTACGGGGCCGTGCGGGCCTGCGAGAAGTTCTGGCCCAGCTCACTCCGCTCCTTGCTCGCGGGGTCTTTACCATCTGCAGGAGGAATGTGTCTCTCTCCCTCTCTCGGTGTTTATGATCTTACATTCAAGCTCACTAGTTCATGGTTGGGATAGTTTTAACAAAATTCTCTATTCCTTCTTGAGTTTAAGTACCCTTAAGCATGCAAAATGTTCCCCCCACTATGCCTAAACCCCAAACCCTGACCCCTAAACCCTAGACCCTAAACCCTATGAGTCAAGGCGTGAGGACATTGGGGGTCCCAAGGCGTGCCAGTGGACCACGGAAGAGACTGCGCCAATAAAACCGGTCCATACACGAGACCGCATGGGAGTTTACGGAAAGAAGGGGCCCCTAATATGTGTGCATATATATATATATACCCCCACCAAATAGTATATACAGAAAAGAAAAGCCCCTAATATGTATGTATACATATATAATATACATATATACATATATGTATATACCCCCCAAATAGTAGGATTCCCTTGTAATAAAACCACAATAAGGTGCCCCAAATTTCGGAAACCCCCATGTTTTCCTGCACAACACCCTGATAGATACTTGTGCTGTCCCGAAGACATGTGATGAAAGCTCCAAAGATAGCGGCGAGCCGGCACAAGTACTATCAAAGGGATATGGATATTATAAGGCTTAGGGTTTAGGGTTTAGGTTAACAAAACGATTGATTGCTTTAGGGATCCGTTCCAGCAGTCTCCCTTCACGATTCGTCGGCGAGCTGCTATCGCCCTCAAACCCAACCCCTAAACAGTCCCCGGCGACGTGAACAATGGCAGCGGCAGGTGAGTAATTAGTTCACGACGATGGGCGCTTTCCCAACAATAATCTGTCTCGGGATCTCCTAGGCTACCCTTGTTCCCAGAGGCGCTCGTAATTATGGACAAAGGCTTAAAGTTGATGGCTTAGGGTTTAGGGGTCGCATTCCATTCCCTCTCCTCCAGTTCCTTGACGCGCTCGGCTGCGCAATTGAACAGACCTTGGGCTGAGACTCTGGGCTTCAAGTTCGGTTAAGGGTTTCCTGCTAGTGCACCTCCGTAGTTTTTGAAACCTCACCAGTTGGAATTCAGGACGCCCTGCAGGGTTTAGGGTTTATGGGGTTGAACAAACCGTCCACGCCCTTGACAGCGTCTCAACACTTGACCCAAGAGTAACCTAGAAAAAAGAACCCTTTTCGAAGGCTTTCGGACTCTTAAATGCTTGGGAGGGGTGTGAGCAGACCAGCCACACTGCAGGGTCACAACTTGAGGATGATAGCACAGACTTGAAACACTCAGGGCACTTTGCGTAGAATCCGTGTACCCTCATGAAAACCAGTTTAGGAGCTCTACCGGTGTCTCACTGTGGGATGACAAGGGGAGTTTCCACTCCATAGTTATCTCTGAGCAACTGCGTCCTACTTTGGCCCGTGATGGCACAGGTTCGCCATCTTTTTTGAAGGCCGGCACCCCAAAAAAACGCCATGTCCGCAACGATCCCAACACCATACACGCGTTGCCGGGCGGAAAGAGGGACGGGGGAAGGGAGGGAGGGGGGAGGGGGGGGGGGGGGTTACGCTAAAATGAGCAAGCGTTGCAGTAGCGGTGTGTGCAGTGAGCGGCTTCCTTCCGCACCGCTTCTCTTGGCCGTTTGCCGGAAACTGTTGAAGGCGCCTCTTGACCGACTTTCTCCGGCGTGGCCTCTGGCAGAAGCTCTTCGCTGGAAGAACCAGTCGAGGCCTTTCAATAATTACTTGAAAAAAACTAACCTTTTAGCTGCGTACACTGCAGAAAATCCGCAGCCCCCCCACTTCTACCAGCAGGGTCTAGGGTTTGGGGTGTAGGGTTTAGGGAACGCAACTTGAGAGAAAATGGGTTCAATGCTTAGGGTTTGGGGGCGACCTTCTGACCGTGAACTCCTGTGCTTGAAGGGGGTGTACGTGGGGTCATGTGACATATGTGAGTACGCTGAGAACTTCAGCTGCCCCCCACCTTCAACCTGCAGTTTCACCACCCACGAACCAATGAACCCTGAACCCTGAACCCTAAACCCTAAACCCTAAACCCTAAACCCTAGCCCTAAACCCTAAACCCTGCTTAGCGGTTCGAATTCTATAAGTGGGTTGGAATGTAAGCTGCCGTCTTCAAACCCGGGCGTCATCCAAACACGGAACCTCAGAGACATTCAAAGGGAGTTGGTCTGCCTGGGAGAGGAGGGACGCGGCATATTTTATTCCAAGCACTAAACTTAACCTCTAAACCCTACAATCCATCCTCTTTTGCCCAAAGCC